TTCTGGCACGCTTCGGATCACCCTCGGCAAGGAAAGCGAGCGGTCGCGGAGCCATTGTGCCACTCTAGCAAAGCCTTGCAGTTCACAGCTTTGGGGGTTTACTGTAGGGCTTAGGGGTTTGAATCCTTGGCTGAGGGAGGCTGCGGAAAGTGCTTAGAACTGGAAAAGCATTCTGGCTACGTCCAGATTTGCGCCCATTTCGCTCCGTGCTCCGCACGCTCTGGACCCAGGTGCTTTCTACAAGGCTGCAACTTCACCGGGTTGCTGCTACGGGTTGAGGGTTTAGGGTTTATGCAATTGTCTGGGGCTTTGGCAAATTCTCACTTCAGGATTCGGAAAGGCGACCCATATTAAGCTGCCTTCACGGCCAACTGTGGCAGCGTGGGCTCTCAGTCACCATTCCGAACACGTCTGTAGAGCACAGAGATGCAAGGGGAAAGAATTTCTGGGACAAGAATCTGGCATGTGAAAGGGAAGCCCTAGCTGAGAACCTGAGGGGGTGTGAGGCTAAGCACGAAATAGCAGAAGTGAGCACTCGAACTCACTACAGGATCTTTGCTTCCACGACGCACTTTGGCTCCAGGAGGCTGAGAATGCAGTTGCAAGATGTGCCTCAAGCACAGAAACCCGCCAGAGCTCCGGTGGCAACACCTGCCGGGCAATCCACGACAAGTTGAGGTGTGGGTGCGAGCCTTCATCCGCAACACTACGGGAACCCTTACAGGAACCCCCTCAAATGTGATAAGTGATCCAGTGATCGAGAGGGCGGCGACGCAACAGCAAAAAAGCCAGGACGTGGGATCCGCCGGTCTCAACACTTTAGGGCTCAGGTTTCCGAAGGCGAAAGGCTCCGGATCTGGAGAGGACAGGCGCTCGCCACTGCGCAAAAGCGCTTCGAGCACCGTGGCCCGTGGCGACATTGGTGACACTTGATATGCCAGACCTCACAGTCAGCCTTTAGGGTGTAGGGTTTAGGGTTAGGCTGTAGGGTTTAGGGTTTTATCGTACCAGAATGGAGCCAGATGCGCAAGCGAGCCGGAGACATGAAGCACATGCACACAGCAACTAACTAGTATCCAGACATTCCGCAGATGCTGTGACCACCCTTACGACTGCCAAGTCCAGAGCGTGTAGTCGTAGTCTGGGCTCAACAAATTGGCCGTTGCATGACCCGCGTGACACGGTGAGGCGGGCCATATGCCTTCCTAAGGCAATGCTTCCTGGCGACTTCCCATGTGGCTTTGCCTGCTTGTGCTTGAAGCATTGCCTGTCCAGGCTTGTATTTGCAGGGCACTTCGCTTCGAAGTCCTCTGTGCAGTGAGAAATCGCCGACCGGTGCAGGAGGGAGTGGAACACCAAGATCAGACGGACCGAAACCCCTAGATTCAAAACTTTATGTTTTGATCCCTAAACTCCCCTAAACCCTGAACCCTAAACCCTAAACCCTAAACTCCCCAAAACCCTGAACCCTAAGGAGGTCGGACTTGGGCGCCCTCCGGGGGCCCTCGAGGGCTCAGACTCGGCAAGATTTGCGGCTCTGGGGTGGGCCCTCGAGATTTTCAGCTCGAGACGCTTCAGCCTGTCGGGGGTCCAAGGCGCTCGAAGCCGTAGCTTAGCGCGTTTCGTGCCTTCAAACAGATGGAATCCGCTAGTTTCGCAAGATATTGGCTAGACCCTGAATCCTAAACCCCAAACCCTAAGACCCTATAAACTCTAAACCCTAAACCCAGAAGCCGGCAGCGCACGGAAATGCGTCCCGGCCGTTAGGATTTCGGAAGGGCCGGGGGTTTTAGCCGATGCGACACCAGCATTTTTGACTTGCAGCAGATCCTACCTGTGTAATGCAGCCGTTCTACCTACCCGTTCCCGGGTGTTATGTGCAGGTTCTCGCTACTTCTTCAAGTTGTCGTCATGTGCGTCAAGATTTCAAAGGAGACATCCGCATGATCCCGCTTCAGCTGCGCAGCACCCACTCTAGCGGAAATGTAGCTGCAGGAGGGAGGTGCAACGCTGCTTCACGAGCCTTAATGCTTCCCAAGCAAACATACACAAGTTGAAGCAACAGCCTTCATCACTGAACCCTGAAACCTACAACCCAATTTCAAACTTCGGCCTGAGCGGTGTTCAGCGGTTGAGCGAAGACGAGACTAAATCTCAACGACTCCTCTTGTGCGCACGGTCGTGTCCATAGTTCCCAGATACACGAACCCAAGATCAGATCACAGTCGTGCGCAGAGCTCTGCTTGTGAAGGCTCGCCAGGAATCGGCGGCAGCATGCATGGGTCAAGACTCGAGGGGGCAAAGCGGTCTGGGCCTCCTGCAGAAGCGTTCCGACTCGGAGCCCTTGCTTGACTACTTCGACCTTGAAGTGAAACAGCCTTGGTAGGTCACAAAATCCAGCTGGGAAGCGGGCTGTCTTCGCAAGACTGCAGACCGGACGTCTGGTGCAAGACGCGAAACATAAACACGAAAATCTCGGGGCAAGGAGCAAGCTTCTCCTGCTTAAGCACCCAGCTTCCACAATCTCCCACAACAGGGCTAAAGCCAAATCATCTTGCGCTGCTGAAAACGGACTTGCCTCACTCCTCCTCCGCGGCCTTGAAGCGGGGTTAGAGACTGAAGCTCCGCCTGTGCCCTGGAGTTTGGCATACTTGGTTTAGGGTCTAGGGAGCTAAGCCCCAAAAGCCTAAACCCGGGCTTTGGTCGGAAGGTGGTGCTTGAGGTTTGCTTTGATCGCAGCCCAAACGGCATGCATGTGTCGTTGAAAACACTTGTCGTCTCAAGCGTTGACTACGATCTGAATGCGGCGCAGCTTTGCGGGATCTTGGCATGCCGAAGGAAAGACCTTACTGTAAAGTGTGGCAACGCGCATGACATCTCGGAGTGTAGAGGCAGCTACGGAGTCTCAATGAAACAGGGATGCTTCGAGTTCGGGAGAAAGCAGTCCTGGACGCAGAAGGCTAAGATTTCGAGGCAGGGGTGCAATGGCATAGTTTGGGGAGTTTGCTCATGCAGCTGCCCTTGGCTTCTTCTACGTGGAGGCGCCTTGGTTCTTGGAATTGCCACCGTCCATCCGAGCATGAAAGCCTCCTAGCCTCTGGGCAGATCTTGAGACGAAATCCTCGACGCACGCCTCGCTGTCGGGCGATGTCCCGGAATGTGGCCGTGCTTGCCCTGTGTAAGCAGGGCGTTGTTGTGGTCTCAAGACGAATGAGGTCCGGCCGAAGCCCTGCGGCGGACAACCATCCCATGACATCTCATGAAGTAGCTGAAGCCGCGGAGACTTCCTGGCTGTGACACCTCGGATCCCACGTTTGGGTCCACATTCTGCAGCTACTTCCTACAGGGCAAGACACGAAGACCCCTGCTTAACCTAGACACGGACACTGGTAATTGTAGGAACACCCATTCCACATTTACTAAGCGCGGCTGGGCCATTTCTTCTTGGGGGACTGTAAGGCCATGAAACCTTGCACATGCCATTTCGTCTTGGCGACCCTTCATTGTCAACGAGCTGAGCAGAAGCCCAGCCGAGACAGCATCACGCAGACTTCACGCCTCAAATGCAGGAATTGAGGTGCGCAAAAACTGGCCTGCAACCCTGACAGCGCCGCGAGCATCCCAAGCAAGGGAAGCATTCGGCATCCACCCTCTCGGTCTCAGAAGTGCCGAGGCTACCCGGTCGGCTCAGCAAAGCTAGACCTCTGAGCGGCTTCAAGACAGGAGGCCTCGAGAAGGAATGGAACTCTGAGGCCTGGGCACCTACCGAAGGAGGCTCAGCGAGGAGTCGAACGCCGGGGAAAGGCGGCATGGAGCTCTGGATCTTCAGAGCTTGCAGCCTAGAGGGCTTCGAGTTTTGGGCCTCTCCTCCGCCCTAAACCCTAAAACCTAAAGCCCTCAACCCGAAAGCCCTAAAACCCTACAACCCTAAAACCCTAAACCCTCAGGCCCATGAAGTCATTGAGGCAGAGAGGCGTGAAAGCCCCGGAGCGATTTGGAGAGAAAGCCGGGGGGAAAGCTTCCTGGAGCCTTCCTGGGACCGTCCTGGGAGCCGACGCTCGGGTCGAAGGAATCCTTAGAGATTTGGGGGTTTAGGGTTTAGGGTTGACGCCGTGCATCGAACTGATACCCAAGGCTCAGGCTACTGGCTCAGGACGAGTCCGGATCAAAATCCAGCATTGCCAGCTTCGACACCCTCAGCTCAGAACCTACAAAAAAAGACGAAAGCCCGAAAGCCCCCTTCCACACCCGCTTGCCGTGCTCGTAGTCCGCAGGCGGAGAGAGTGTGATCTTCTTTCCAGAGCCCCGAGGAGCAGCCGGGGCCGAAGCTCCGTCGCGGCTGTGGACTTCGAAGTGTCGCAGTCGCCGGATATGCAGATTAAGGTTTAGGGTTTTGTTTTTTAAGTGCAGTGTTAGGGTTTAGGGTTTAGGGTTTAGGGAGGTTTGGCCAGAGTGAAGACCCCTGACCCTGGCATTAGAAGAGCACCGTCACACCTTCGTAAGTGGAGCTCTGCTTGCAAAGGCTCGCCAGGAATCCGACGATGAAGCAAGGTTGAGTCAAGGCTTGGGGGGCAAAGCTGTCTGAGCCTCCTGTAGAAGCGTTCCGACTTGGAGCCGATTTCGAAGTGAAGAGCCTGCTCGGGCCCAACAACACAGCTGGGAAGCTGGTTGTCTTCGCAAGACTGCAGACCAGACGTGTGGGACAAGACGCGAAACCGACATGCGCGGAGGCCGGGACCACGATACGAAACTGACATACCAAAACGACTGTGCGAAGTGCAAGCTTCTCCTGCTTGAGCACCCAGGTCCTGTAGTCTCCCACAACAGGGCTAACGTCAAATCATCTTGCGCCGCTGATAACGGACTTGTCCCACTCCACTTCCGGGGCCTTGAAGCGCAGTCACAGAATGAAGCACCGCCATTGCCGTGGATTTTGGAATGCTTGAGCTAAGCCCCAAAACCCTAAACTCAGCCTTCTTCCTTGCTGAGTACTCATTCAGCTACTGATGCCTTTGAGGGGAATGTGGCGCTTGAGGTGGGCCTGCATTGGCCTAAACGGCATGCACATGTCATTTCGCCTTCTGCGTCGTCTCACATGTTCGGTACCAGGGTCTGCTGGCGGCGGAGCTGTACAGGATTGGGCATGCCGCAAGAATCCGCAAGAACTTGCGGCTCGGAGCTGCCTTTCTGCCGATACATGGCCCACTAGCGAGCTACACCTCGGTCAGCTTAAGACTGCATGATACGTCAACTGCGCAGTTGCACAACTTCGGGCACCTCCGTCCATCCGAGTATGAAAGCCCGCTAGCCTCTCGGCAGATCTTGAGACGAAATCCTCGACGCACGCCTCGCGCTCGGGCGATGTCCCGGAATGTGGCCGTGCTTGCCCTGTGTCAGCGGGGCGCTGTTGCGGTGTCTCAAGACATGTGGGGTCCGGCCGAGGGCGGTGATCTCCCTGCGGCGGACAACCATCCCATGACTCATAAAGTAGCTGGAGCCGGTTCGTTTCGGGAGACCTCCTGGCTGTGACACCTCGGAAACTACCTGGGCCGCGTCTTTTTGGCGACTGCACGGCCATGAAACCTCACACATGACATGCCACTTCGTCCTGGCGGCCCTACTCCCCAAGCCAGACGGCACCCACGAACACCCAACGCTGAAAATGCGAGATCCCGCATTGAAGTGCGGAAATGAGCGGTCCTCCAAGCCTGAAAGTGCTGTGAACATCCAAACAAAGGGAAGCAGTCGAAGTGCACGGCCGCCAGACTCTCAAGAGCACCAGCCGCCAGCTGGATTCGACAGAAGTCTCGAGAAGGAATGGAACTCTGAAGCCTGGCACTTACCGAGCGAGGCTCAGCGAGGAGTCGAAAGCCGGGGAAAGGCGGCATTTTGCTCTGGATCTTCAGAGCTTACAGCCATTTCGGGTGTCGATCGCTGGGCTCAAGGCCCACCCCCATGTTGGCAAAACAAAAGCTTGAAAATATCGGGCTTCAACACGCCGCCCATTTCGGGCCTAAACCCGCAACCCTAGATGTCACAAATCAGTGTTATTTTGCAGAAGCGACGGAAAGGATACGCAAACGGGTCCCTGGGGCACCTGCAAAGTAGCGCACAGCTCTGAGGAACATGGGAAATCGGTTTCACACCGTTTCGGTAGCACTCACGGGCAACCGGCGACAGCTCAACAGGTGGGCATTGCAATCTGCACTCGTTCTTGCAGCTTGCCAAAGGGCATCGAAGAGCACGGCATTCTACCACGAGCTGATCCTCAACATACTGCCTTCATTGACGAAGAGCAGAGGATTCTGAGGCCCACCGCTCTTTTTCCATTCCTTGTGAACGTACTGTCTCGGGGCAGTCAAGCGGCAGAGGACGATGCGCCCAACCAGGTGCTGGAGATCAAGGTGGCGCTGGCCTGGCACATCATCCCACAAACCCTACCCACTGACCCCAAGCTATAAATCCCAGAAATGCCCAAACCCTAAACCCTAAACGCCCTAAACCCTAAACCCTAAAACCCTAAACCCTAAAACCCTTTTTGCATCCAGGACTCTAAAACCCTAAAACCCTAAACCCTAAACCCTTCCATCAGCCTGTAAGGATCCCTTATGAAAGGAACCCAGCAAAGCCTGTGCCCGGAGGCCCCCATCAAACCCGAAAACCACATGAAAGGCTTAACTGGGTAGTTCTCTAAATTAGGGTCCCCTTTTAGGCCCCCCATATAGCACCGCACTCTTATTCGAAGGAGCCTAAAAGAGACCCCAATTTAGAGAACTACCCAAATGGTTTAGGGTGTAGGGTGGAGGAGTAGGGCTTTAAGGTATAGGGCATCCGAATCCCCACCAAAATCGAAGGAATGCAAATGGATGGAAACCCTTGCTATTCTTGGGTCCATGCCTTCCATGATGACATTATTGCCTACTAGTCTGTAGGGCTTGGGGCTACAAGTATTCCCGAACTAGGGGGTTTGGAGGCTGTTTGCACGTGATTGCTGAGCCCACCCCGAATCCAGAAGCAATCAACCACACACCGCATAAACACCGGCAATAGAAGCCTGATGATATGGGGATTTGTACAAGGGCTTCAGAAGGGTTTTGATGTAGGGGCTTGAACAATCAAACTGCAGCTTTGGGCTTCATTACTAAACAGGAGCCCAAGTGATTGCATTTCTAACAACTTGGGCTTCTGTATCAACCCTCTTGAACCCTTCTGACACCGCCGTACACCCCATTACCAACCGGGGAAAGTCTTGAAACCCTAAACCCTAAACCCTTAACACCCCAAAGTTCAAAAGAAGGCGATGGCACTTTGGAACCGGGTGCGAAGACCGAGGCCAGCGCTACGAGTAGCAGCTAGAGAGCCCCACACCCCTTAATTAAGGAATATACCTTAAATGATAGGGGCCTTGGTTTAAGGTATATTCCTTCATTAAGGAATATACCTGAAATGATAGGGGCCTATAATATGATGGTTTAAGGTATATTCCTTTATTAAGGGATCCTAAACCCTAAACCCTAAACCCCTAAACCGCTAAACCCGAAACCCCTAACCCCTAAACCCTAGGAACATTCCTTAATTTAAGGGGTCTTGGGCCCTCTGGGGAAGCCGCAGCCTTCGCAGTGGAGTTGTCGACGGGCGGCACCGACGGCAAAACCTGAAAAAAACTTCGTTGAAGGTTTCGGGTGCGGTTTAGGATTTAGCGTTTAGGGTTTAGGGTTTAGGGTTTGCCGTAGAATGGCGCATAGGCGGAAGTATCTAGCGACTGTGCAGTTTCGAGTGTATCGTGATTTGACGTTTCGTTGTTGGAGCCTGAATGTCGAGGGCTCTTCCTTTTTACTCTCCCACTCCACGCCGTCTGAGGCGGCCAAACCACCCAAACCTATTCCTTTTAGGGTTTAGCTCTAAACTCATTCTATGGCTTTGTTCTTTCTTTCAAGCAAGAAGAGGGCAGGGCAGGGAGGGCAGTCAGGCAGGGCCAGGGCAGGGGAGGAGGCCAGGCAAGGCACGCGCGCGTTGGGATGCCTGTTCCGACCCCAAAATTCCGAATTTTGGCCCAGTCTCCCCTAGGTCCTTGAAATCTGCTCGCTCCTTTTCTGGGGCCCACATGGGCCAGCGAGAAAGGGGGGGCTTTAGGGCATTTACAGGTCGAGGGGCTGAAGCGCCGCCCACCCACGGAGGTGGGCGGCCTAAGCCTTGAGTTTAGTGTTGAAGGTTTCGGGTGGAACAAAGAAGACGAAGCAGCGAAGCAGTTTAGGGTTTAGGGCTTCCGGTTTAGGGGGGCTCGTAGCGCGGGGTGTTTGCAAGGTCTTTGCGAGGATTCGACCGATTATACTTCCCAGATTCACCCCATTGCCTTTAGCGGCGGTAGAGGCTGGTATGCGTTAGAGGCATTTAGTTTCAATTAGGGTTTAGGATTCCGGGTGAGCACACCTCTGCCCCTAAAACTTGGACCCCCAAGCCTCAAACTCCTGGCTCTTCTAAGTCGTGGGGGGTCCTAGGCCTTTGCAAGTCGGGTTGTGAGTGGTGAAGGTCCCCCTAACCCCTAAACCCCAAACCCTAAACCCTAAACCCTAAAACCTAAACCCTAAACCCTATACCCTAAACCCTAGACTCGAAACCCTAAACCCTAAACCGTGTCCTACAGCTTAAACCTTGGATGGAGGCCGAGCAGACGACCGAAGAAACGAAAACCTAAGACCTCGGCCTTGCGATTTGGGGCAGTGCCTCAAACACTTAGGGCTTAGGGTTTAGGGTTCAGGGTTTAGAGTTTAGGGTGTAGAGTTTAGGGTTTAGGGTACCCTAAACCCTAAACCCCTAAACCTTCACCCTATTGCCCTTAACACCCTGCGTTCGAGGC